CGCATGTATGTATGAAAGTTAAAGCTTAATGAGGGTCCATCCGCCCTTTCGGGCACAAAATGCAGCTTGCGCTGTCGAGTACGGACCCCGGATATGTCACCAGTCATGTCCTTAAAGAGTTAATTTTGAAGCACAAAATGGTGATAATTTACCTCCATGCAATTTCCACGGAGTATTAGCCAAAGATATGAATTTTGAGCCAAAAGAAGGTCACTGTACGGCGGTCAATGAGAACCTAAATGTACAGTAACCTGTGACAATAGGAAAGGTAGGTGTTACCAATGACGCTAATGAAATGTAACCTTATATACTAAAGTTTAATTATTTCAAAACAACCAATATATCAACATGTTATTATTATCCCCCGCCGAAAATTTTCGGCGGAGGATATAGAAATACTCTCCGTCCGTCCGTCCGTCCGACCTTCCGTCCGTCCGTCCTTCCGTCCGACATTTTTGTCCGGAGCATATCTCTAAAAGTATTTGAGTTATCAACTTGAAACTTCATAGGTGGATAGACCTCATTGAGGAGTAGTGCAGTGCACAAGAATGATAACTCTACCTTGCATGATTTTTGAGTTATTGCCCTTTGTTATTTTTCAAAATTGATTTTTGTCCAGAGCATAACTCCAAAAGCCTATGAGATATTAACATGAAACTTCATAGGTGCATAGATCTCACTCAGGAGGTGTGCAGTGCACATGAATGATAACTCTACCTTTCATAATTTTTGAGTTATTGCCCTTTGTTATTTTTCATACCTAATTTTTCACCAGAGTGGAGCATAACTCAAAAAGTGTTTGAGATATCAACATGAAATGTCATAGGTGGATAGATCTTATTGAGGAGGAATGTTATATGTGGATAGACCTCATTGAGGAGGAGTGCAGTGCACAAGAATGATAACTCTACCTTGCATGATTTTTGAGTTATTGCCCTTTGTTATTTTTCAGAATTGATTTTTGTCCAGAGCATAACTCCAAAAGCCTATGAGATATTAACATGAAACTTCATAGGTGCATAGATCTCACTCAGAAGGTGTGCAGTGCACATGAATGATAACTCTACCTTTCATAATTTTTGAGTTATTGCCCTTTGTTATCTTTCATACCTAATTTTTCACCTGAGTGAAGCATAACTCAAAAAGTGTTTGAGATATCAACATGAAATGTCAAAGGTGGATAGATCTTATTGAGGAGGAATGTTGTGCGCAAGAATGATAACTCTTCCCTATACAATTTTTTGAGTTATTGCCCTTTGTTTTTTTATGCTATTTTGTCCAGAGCTTATCTCAAAAAGTATTTGAGGTATCAACTTGAAACTTCAAAGGTGGATGGATCTCATTTAGGAGGAGTGCAGTGTTTAAGAATGATAACTCTACCCTGCATTATTTTTGAGTTATTGCCCTTTGTTATTTTTCAAAATTAATTTTTGTCCAGAGCATAACTCAAAAAGCCTTTGAGATATCAAAATGAAACTTCATAGGTGCATAGATCTCACTCAGGAGGTGTGCAATGCACAAGAATGATAACTCTACCTTTTATATTTTTTGAGTTATTGCCCTTTGTTATTTTTCATACTTAATTTTTCAATTCAATTTTTTTCTCAAAAAGTATTTGAGGTATCAACTTGAAACTTCATAGGTGGATAGATTTTACTGAGGAGGGATGCAGCACACAAGAATGATAACCTACCCTGCATTATTTTTCAGTTATTGCCCTTTGTTATTTTCATTCATCAGTATTCACATAGGTTTCAAATCTGTTATCACTATAGCCATCAGTTTTCATTACCAAAAGACCTCTTAAAATAGAATTATTCTGTTCTACTACATATACATTCTTCCAATGAGCAAACACATTCGGCGGGGGATGGCCATGTTGACATGGCTCTTGTTAACATTTAATTTCATAAATATAAATTAAAAATAATTATCAAAAGCAAAATTGTTAAAATCTTTTGCCTGAAATCTTCTTTATATTGACAAATTCAATCACTAATAGTATACTTGATATGCTGTGTAAATGTATTTCAAAATGTAACAAATTATAATTTCATGTACTACTAAAAAAGGGAAATAACAAATTTATAACCTAAGTGTCAAAAATCAAAACATTTATGGCTATTTATAGCTTTCGAATTTATGTAACAGCAGAACTGCTTTCCGGTTCTCATTCATTAATATGAAATGCTGCGAATCACCGACGGGGAAACCAATATTGAAATCGAAAGGAGTTCTTGAATGCGGATTTACTTTTAGCTGTTAATCGAAAGGATTTATTGCTCAAATCCGGGCCCATGGACAAAAAAGAATAGTAAACACAAATAGCTCCGCGCCTATGGGCGCGGAGCAATAATTCATGACTTGTTGATAGAATCATTTTCAGTATTTATGACTTTGCTCAAACATATAGTTTTAAAATGAATATAAATAAAGTAATTAAGCCCGCACCAAGAGATATTAATCAAAACACTCTTGAAATCATTTTGTTTTCAATGCCACATATGACTGCAATATAGAATTTCGCTTATTAATTAAAGTACAGCCCGAGCGAAGTTAATTTTGATAAATGGAATTAAAAAACAGATGCATATTTCAAAACGATTCGTTTTCTCAAATTACTCTTTGCCATTCTAAATACAAGTAAATCACAAATATATGAGTTTCAAAATGGCCTGATGACTGAAATATTACATTTCAGCTTATCAATAATAAATGTTATGAAATTACATAACACTTATTGCACAAATGAAGTATAGGTTCTATGATATATAACTGTTTTATGAGGCAATTGTATTATATTTTGTGAAAACAGTTTTGAACAGTTTATCAGCGCACAAAAAATTCAAACAATTACTTTTTACTGTCATTCGATCAGTATCGGAATTCCTCGACTTTTATTTACCACATTGAATTTAACAGTGAATACAAAAACTGCTCACGTCACCATATGACCTAGACTGTGTCGTTGCAACATAAAACCCATTCAAAACAAAATTAAAGTTTTCATTTCTGAGCGTGCACGTATATATAAAAATAAAATATGTATACGTGATTGATATAAAAGCTATTAATTAACGGAATCATTATTTCCATTCGAAGTAAACATAATTATGTCATTTATATTTCATACTGATTTATGTGAACCATTCTTGCCAACGAAAACACTGCCATTAATCATTTTATATTTACTTAGTTTCCACTTTCTGTTTTTCCTTCTTTTTATTCAAATTCAAATAATTTATTATTTACTTGCGCACATGTTGAAAAATGACTTAATGGTTACTCAGACTTTGTCATAAACTTATTTACAAAATTATACAAATCATACAGAGGGCAAATCTCTATTCAGGTTAATATTATCACAAAATAACATGTCGTTCGATCTGATAGTCGTGTTTTCTAGCGGAATATGAATTTCAAATGCGCAAAAGGCTTATACTGATTTAAAAAGAAAATATGCGACGCGCCAAGTGATCTGACGTAAGACGAATAGGTCCTTCTGGTTTACAACAACCCGGTAGATTATGATATCAAATTAAGTTGTTTTTTTCAGTTACAATAGTTTTTAACTTCTACAAAATATAAGCTACACCCATTAAAAACAATCAAACCACAACATCATCAACAACAAAAAAAACTACAAGAACAACAAAAAATATTAAATAAACAAAAACAAAACAAAACACAGAGTTCACATCATGGCGTAAAATGTTTTCATTGTTAGAGTTCCAGTTTTCATTGACAATTATCCACGAGCTGTTCTTTTAAACCTTGTTATACAAAGGAATGCCACTATTATACAGAACATGTGGTTACAACATATAATGTGCCAACTGTACGAATTTTAATTACACTTTCTTTTTAGTTACACACATACCGTTTTAGATATTATCGCCTGATTTGGAATTTTTCCCTTGTTCTTACTAACCCATTATACTCAGTACACTTCAATGAGCATTTGAAAACTGTATTGATATATAGCAGTACAGTTTTTTAATTGATTCATATAGGAAAAAAACTCGACTGCTATTGAGTTTTTTTCGCACCTGTTATATATCAATGCAGTTTTTTCACAGAGGCTTCAATGGGGCAGTGGTAACGAACATTCCCATTAGCAAAAAAAAAATGGTATTAATAAAATAAAATAAAATACATAAATAAATACAATGAAAAATATAAACAAAGATAATTAATGAAATGAAATTTACTCTCATTTAATCGAAAGGTACATCCGCTGAATGAATTATTTCCAATGAAAAAAAACCTTTTAATCTTGAATCAATATTGGTAACAGTTAACAATCCGCCTCTAACATTGGATGTCTTTTGTATATATCACTTTTTTTGCGGCATCGAAAACAACTTGAAAAAACTGCCTTATTATAAATAACTGTAATGTAGCTAACGATTTACTCATTTACCTATTTACTTATTTATTTCTTTCACAAAAAAAGAAAACATTGTGCCCTTGCGATAAAACAGTTATAGTATATAAAACTCGTTAGTTACGAGGATGTGCGACATCTCCGGGTGTTTCTGCAAAAAATTGTCTCGGCCTAACGGCCTCGCCATTGTTTAGCAGAAATATCCCTTGATGTCACCCCAGCCAGTGTTATATCCTCGTAACTAACTCGTTTCATGTACTATTACTATAATTACTTATTGTAATGCTTTGCCGTCAAAACAATTCTAAAATGTACGCCAATAGCGTAGCAAATTGGTAATTTCCAGAACGATATTTTTTCAAAATCTTGGGTATTAGATTATTTACAATCACTCATCCTTTATCGATATATAATTAATTCCGGTCCGGTTATAAACGGTTAAAAGTTATTGAAAACCGAAGATTGTGAAAAATAACGTTTTGAAAATGTCCGATATATTACGATATTGGCCGATTTTATATAATGTTTTTGCGGGAAAGAATCGAAGCACCTGAAATTACCTTAAAGTAATGTTCCCAAAACGAGATTAATTGTAATGGAAAACAACAAATACCTGTTCTTTACGAGCCAGTAGTCAATGTTGGAGAGACTGCCATACCCCACAACAAGTACAGCATGATTAAGTTTAATCGGTGAACACATAACTTCGTTATAAACTCCAGATCTATAAATAGAAAAGAAATTCTAGGCTTACAAATATGAAGTCTTTGTCCTACTTATTCGGTGAACACATGGCTTCATTATAAACTCCAGATCTATAAATAGAACAGAAATTCTAGGCTTACAAATACAAAATGTATTTAGTCCTTGTCCTACTTAAGCGGTGAACACATGACTTCATTATAAACTTAAGATCTATAAATATAAGTAAAATTCTAGACTTATAAATATTTAGTATTTGTCCTACTTATTCGGTAAACACATGACTTCATTATAAACTCAAGATCTATAAATAGAAATAAAATTCTAGGCCTATAAATATTCAGTCTTTGATCTTCTTTGTCGTCAAATGAGAAAAGCCTACATTTGAATTTTTTATATTCACTCAAAAGGCGAATACCGTGCTACCGGACTGAACAGGAAAATGATGAATTTTAGAACAGGATATTTGTCCCGGTAACGGTTAATTTTCTTGTGCAACTACATCACTGTACATATACTAAGAAATGAGACTCTAACGTTCTACACGGGAAACGGACAAAAACCCTCCCGCCCTGTTATTTTCAGGGGAGGGTTTCTGTACGCTCAGTCAGTTTCACTGGAGGGTTTTTGTCTGTCTAGTCATTTTCGATGGGGGGAGGGGGCCTTTTGTCCGGAAGGGCTTTTGTCCTACACTCGTTCTTCACTTGTCGCAAATAGTTGAGAACTGGTCAAAGCAGTTCATAACAGCGCATTAACCTAAATTGAACAACTTTTTCCATGACGACGATATAAATAAAACATACTTTGACAAATAAAACTAATAGGAATTTTAAAGGTTGAATAGGGCTTTAAACATGATTTTAATCTACGTAGAATTAAGTGTTATGATATACTTGTAGAACTGGAAGGAAGTGTGGCTGGCATCTATGGCAACAGAGATAGGACCCTCAGCAGCTACAGCAGTTTGCAATTCCGTTTCAGATCCTGCTTTGATATCCTTGCAGCCTTTCGCAGCAGCTCCGATGTTTTGTTTATTGTACTTACATGGTCCTTCCTTGAAAAATACATTTTGGAATTTAAATACAAGTTTAATAATGCATATAATTATCTATATATTGGAATTTTGATATAACTATTATAATGAATATGTAATTAACTAAATATTGAACATAACAAGTGTTTACCTTTGAAAACATGTTCTCATATCATTAGATGGGATAAAAGTGTTTACACTGTTAGATTACTGAGCTACTTTTAAAACACTTCAAGAAAAAGTCCAAGTCATATTATTTGTCAAGGTTGTAACTGACATAAAATATTTGTTGTACATATATTCTGTCATCTTTCACTAGCAGAAAGACAAAAACATACAAGTAGCGCCTTTTCACAAGTAAGAAATCGACAGCAAACCAAATTCACCTGTATTGTCCTTTCATTTAGCACCTTGTCATTAGTTGGAAGTTTAGAGTTTACTTGGTTACTTGTTATCTCCTTATCATACGGCGCCTTGTCACAAGAAAACGTTGACAACATTTTACATTCATTTGAGAAAACAAGCAATTTGATTTGCTGTCTTTTCCAGAATGCGATACAACTCCGTTTTCTTTACTACTGAGATTTGATAACATAAAATGTTTCGTTACCTTTCCAACATACGGATATGATGCCTCAGTATCAATTCCGCCATTTTTGATGACGTAAGCAAACGCTTGATCCATTAAACCGCCATTGCATCCATCGTTTCCTAAAATGTTGTAACAATAGAATTATAAAATATGTTAACCTCTCTAAAAATTGCTTCCGTATATTATTTGTAATAATTTATAATTAGTTATTTGTAATTCATCTAATGTTCAATAATTGTTAATACTGCTCTTTCGTTATGTTCATTCTCATTTGGCAGTCCTGATTCCTGATTCTAACGTACAAAGCTGCTGCTAATTCTTGAATAAATTTAATAATTTCATTTTCAAGAGATTTTAGATACACATTTTCTTTGCATTGTATTGCGTTACGTTACGTTACGTTGCATTGCGTTGTATTGTATTCTTTTGTTTTGTATTGTATTGTATTGTATTGTATTGCATTGTATTATTCATAATATATATGAATCATAAGTTTTAATTTTTTGATGCATATTGGACGGTGACGTCGTACAGAGACAGAAATTTGGTGTGAAAAAGGATAATATTCTATAATTGTATCGTATCGTATTGCATTGTATTGTATTCCTCATAATAAGAGGCACTGCTATCATCGTATGAACACACAGAATTCTACATTGGGTATAAATTGGGCGGTGTCTTGGTATAAATCAGTCGGTAATAGAGTTGTAGTGTATTGCTTTTATTACATTGTATTGTATTGAATTGGATTGTCGGTAATAGAGTTGTAGTGTATTGCTTTTTATTGCATTGTATTGTATTAAATTGTATTTGACTGGATTGAATTGTGCATAACAATACGGCGTTTATAATTATTTAGATTTAGAATATAGAAAGAAAGGTTTTAATCTTTCTAGACTAGGTTTGTGTTGTAATATTTATTATTTTATTTCCTACCTTCACCTGTTGAACAATCTATCAAATTTTGCTCGGATAGGGAAACTAGTTTGCCAGTTTTCTTGAAGTTTTGTCCTTCGAGGGAACCAGTGCTTGAGAATGACCAGCAAGATCCACATTGACCCTAAATAAACAAAACAAAAATAATAAACACTGTCACCATATGATGAAGATGATAAAGAAGAACTGTGTTATATTTATGTGAAAATATCAGTGAATTGCATTTTGCATGAAATAAAAATTGGGCTGGATATTATCAAAAAGTTGCTCCCTAAATGAAAAAAGCATTACAGTGACAAATGTTGCAGATGAAGAAATACAATAACTGTGAAATGGTTGAAAATTGCACCCTCTCTTTAAGTTAGCATACTTATCTGTTTTTATAAGGTTTGCTTGAAACAAACACTGGGCTGGAGGTACTTTACTGTTAAAGGTGACATTTGTTACCTCCCCTAACAAGACAATGCTTACGCTTTGATTGAATATGTCAGTTTGTTTTAGCTGAAAAATATGTGTTATTAGAGTCATGCTACATTATGTAAACCATATGTAAAACAACTACCTGATCTTTAACGCCAGTGACGTATCCCTTATCCCTCCAATCCACGGATGCTGGCAATGACGTCATGGATGTTTTCGGTGACATCGTATATTTCTTACAGATGCCACTGGTTACATTTTGTTTGTACCCATTCATAGTGTTAACAAATTCTGTATTGGTCTGAAAAGTAGCCATGGTGCTTCTTGGTGGATGTTATTTCCAGTAAAAATATTTCGATAATATTTGGGTGTTTTTTATGCTATATAAATGCTATATAAATTACACAGAGAAGCTTTCTGCAAGCACGATGAGAAAATGTGATGCACTCAAATGTGATCTATTGCATATTTTCTCTTTTTTATTGCATGCCTCATAAATAAATAAAGATTTTTGCAACCGTTTTCATTAAAACGCAAGAAAAATACGGAATTAACAACAAAAACAAATTATTTCAGACGCTTAACGCCTTATATAGTTTTTGTATAGGTTTAATAAAGGATTTATTATAGGTTTAATAAAGAATTTAGAGCATGTATAAAGAACGTAGGCGCTAAATGCCAAGAAATGTGCCGTAAAAGTAGCAACATGTAAACAAATAGTGTTTTGATTTCCATACAGTATTAATATATCCATTGCCAGCTGACCTAAAGGAGCAAATGACAGTTCATTTGTATGGCAAATAAGTATTAGTTTGAACTTTTAACTTGATAAAAGAAGACGTTTTCTAGAAATAAAAATGATAGCATTTCTGAGGCATAACATACCTTTATGTGCACTTATGATCTATGTAATGAATTAAAATTTCATGTATTTTTCACCTTCTTTAACTTTGTGGAGTTCATTTAATGGCGTATTCAACAAATATGATAAATACGATAAAATAGTACATAATTAATTGTAGTGAACATTACGGAAATACGTGACTTAAAATGAAATAAAAGACCCGGTATGATTATTACCATATCACCGTATTTGTTCATGCCCAAAATATATGTATGAAGTCCTCGTGTCGCCTCCATATTATGTTGTTTTATAAACTTCAAGTTATCTTCCCAAATGTATCGTCTGAAAATTTAATATTCATTAGAAAAAACATCAGAGAAATGGAAAATTTTAATGCACCGTGTTTCGTAATTGTTACGGGCTAGGGACGGCACGTGCCTGCCATTAAGACCTGACTTTCATCTATTGAGAAAAAAACATTCAAAATAATTGAAAATAGTTGAAAATGTTGTTATTAATAATTCATATTTCAATATGGTAGCAGCTCAAGGCAATAACATTTATCAAAAGAATATTCACAATACATCTTTTACGTCAGTCATTTTACGACATCAATTTAAAACGGTGTAAATATAAATAAATATCATTTTATTTGAAATAAAACATTTTTGATGACGTAGATTGTCAATATAAATGATTCAAATTCAATTTTCTTTTCGTATACCAGAAGATTAATTGGCTATCAAATCATATCATGGTACACATTATTCATGCTAATTACGTCGGATAGCTAATTGGAAACGTTATAAATTAATAAAAAATAATGGTATACTTTTCACACTCGGCGGGAATCGAACTTACAGCGATACAGGACATGTGATTTGAAGTCGGCGACTAAATCACTCGGCCATTGAACATCTTCCTCTAGAAAAATATTGTGACAAAAATGTGTGTGGAAAAAAAATCTGAAACCTCTTTTTACTAAATTGAAGGCCACGCACATTGTACAACGAGAAGATTCACGTATGATTTAAAGTATCAGTTTACAGCGTAACATTGTCATTATAACTGTGCAGGATTGCTTTATAATAAATGTAGTCTAATCTTTTTTACATCTTCCGATACTTATTCTTCCTTATACCACGTTCCCACTGTTATATATTTATACTAAAAGTAATATATGTAACAATAAAATTCGCGAGTTATCAATCTTAAAAGGACTGCCCAGCAAACACCTGACGTTGTTTCAACGTTGGATCTAAGTTGGATTTATGTCACGACGTCAAAATCCTAAATACAACGTTGAAACAACGTTGTATTTGCGACGTCGTATCAACATGTTGGAATTACGTCGATACGACGTCGGATTTCAGTGTAATCCAACATAGTAGCCTTGATTGAGTTACTTCCCTTTGTTCTGATTTATAAATCCGATAGGTGGCTCTGATTTCAGGTCAATATAATCATTGGAATTTTGTAATTCTTTTTTTTCACATCCATTGTATATTTTTTTAAAAACTGTTGTTATACTAGACCATAAAAGGAACAATTTCATTTATTAATAATAAATAAATTGAAAAAAAAATAATGGAAACTTGATGAATTTCAAAACGAGGCTACAACAACAATTTGTTTTCAAATTCAAACAAAGACAAAGGAAGGACATTATGCACATCATAGAAGACAATTCGCATAGTGAAAAGTAAGTGATATTTTTGATGGTAGATAAGTATTAAACTTACTGCATGCATAGTATAATAACTGAAAAATTATTAGTTACATTAGGAATATAATTATATTTTCATGATATTCAACTATCTCAGTTCTAAACCAGTTAATTAATGTAGTCTGATTCGCCCTCATTTAACTCATACTTTGGGATTCAATTGATATATAAATTGTATGAAATTCTGTCAAACTTTTTGTTTTATTTGTGTTGTCATTTTAAGCCAAGATCCCTACATGACCTTAATCTCTCTAATTCGATTTATCAGATTAATAGACTAGATAACAATAGGTATTTCACCACAACGTATTTGTTAACAAAGGAAAACCTGTCAATATTTGAGATTTAATCTACTTTTATTAGTCCCCTACCGGTTTACCGGTCAGTCCGCACTCACAGGAGAGTAATTATGTGGCTAGAGGGACAATAGGTTCTCTTTGATGTCATTCATTCCGGAATGCTTTTAAGTGGCTATTTTCTTTTGCGTGGCTAAAAAGAACAATAGAGAGAACAATTGAGTAGCCACATAATTACTGTCCTGTGAGAACGTCCGTCCGTCTGTCCGTCCGTCATACCGTCCGTCCACAAAACTGGATCCTGCGATAACGCAAAAAGTACTGAAAATATTTTAATGAAACTTGATATATGGACAGATGGCAGTATGGAGATTATGCACGTCTTTTTCTTTTCTTCCTATGTTGAAAATTCTGGTTGCTATGGCAACAAATAGACTGAAAATATGGCAAATTTTACACATAACCTGGATCCTGCGATAACGCAAAAAGTACTGAAAATATTTTTATGAAACTTGATATATGGATAGATGGCAGTATGGAGATTATGCACGTCTTTTTCTTTTCTTCCTATGTTGAAAATTCTGGTTGCTATGGCAACAAATAGACTTAAAATATGGCAAATTTTACACATAACCTGGATCCAGTGATAACACAAAAAGTACTGAAAATATGTTTATGAAACTTGACATATGGGTAGATGGCAGTATGGAAATTATGCACATCCTTTTTTATCTTCCTATGTTGAAAATTCTGGTTGCTATGGCAACAAATAGACTGAATTTCAAGATTTCTGATTCTAGTTTTTAAGTTTTTTCACTATAAGTTCTTTATTTCTTAAGGTATTTTCTTCAATCTTTAAATATAAGTTGCTTGTCATCAACCACATCATATGTGACAAGGTTTACAAGTCTAGCACAAAATGTATCAGAATTACCTCCCTTGAACTTAAAATGTTCATGAAAAAAACATTGTTTTTTTTTAATAACTTCTTTTTCTGAATGTATCTACTTCAAACTTCATATAAATGTTTCTTATTGTCACTCAACATTTGTGAGTGTTCAATACTCTAGCAAGACTATTTCCAGAATTATGCCCCTTTTGAACTTAGACTTTTTTTGAGAAATTGGTAATTTTTACTCCAACTTCTTCAATCATGATAGGATTTTAAAAATGTTATATTTTGATAACAGGGATGTTTAAAAAATAACTTTAGAGTGTCCTTCAGTCTGTCTGTCTGTACATAAAAACTGTTTCCTTTGATCACTTTTAAAGAACTTTTTCAACAAATTTACTTAAAATAGGAACCTAAGTGAATGGCCAATGGCCCTTCAGAATGTTGCTTGGGCTCTTACCGGTAGGGGACTTATGGATTGCTTGCAATACTATGATAATTGCTTGTTCAAATAGATCTACATGTAAAAGGTCAAAGTAGGGATCTATCAATACATAAGTATACTGTCAAAGTAAATTTATAACTTTTTGTCAATAATCATTGGGTTTCGTTTTTTTTATAGACTGACACTTAATTTTTGTGTGATGACAATTAGCTGATAAGATTGTATACATGAACAACAGTCGACAGAAAACACCATTTGGACATAAAAGAATGATAAGTGCATCAAATTAAGGTAATATATGGATTTTGATTTTGTTATTTACTGTAATTTCTGTTTTGACATAATTAACTGTTAATCAAAAGTAAAATTATAATAACGTGAAATGTCTTATGATTGAATTTGCACCTTAACATGTTACTGTTTTGCAAATAACATATATTTGAAGTGACAGTTTTTGAGTGTTCTACATCATCAATCGACATCTGATTTTTATTTATGATATGCTAGGGTAATCTATTGATAATGTTATTTTTATTTAATATAATCTAATTGACCATTTTGGTTGTTATGTACACCTATTTATTTCTGTTTCATTTTTGCAGTTTCAAGGAAAACAAAACAAGTTGAACCTCAAAACAAGTTTGACACAGTGCCTTCGTAGATGAAAATAATCAGGATCCAGTGGTGGACTTTTAGTGTCTCAGAATTATTCACATGGAGGTGTATATCTCCAAATTAAATACATTTAAGTTAGTTTTGAAAGAATAAAGACAAAAAATTACCTACTTTCTTTAAATGTGAATATTTATTTATTGTTTTGTGTTACACTTAATTTTGACAGAAAGGAATATTTTCCCTCACTTATCCGATTTGTTACTGATGAAATCAACTGCAAAAGATAGCTTTATGTTCCATGATGATTTCCATTTTCTATGAGTTATTTAAAAGAAAACCTTTTTAAGCATGTTGTAAACATTAATACTTTAATTGACATATATTGTAATAGTTAATGTATTCTGTAGACCTTTAAATGAAAATGATTTGTTGACTGTTGTTTGTTATAATTTGGATTACAAAATGTGTTTTATTGTATTGACTGAAAGAGGTCGGATAAATGTTGAACTTCAATTTTGAAAAGACATGTAGCTCTTTTTTTTAAATTTTAATAGTTTATATACAATTTATACAATTTATAAATATCAAACTTTATTTTATCATCACTATAAATTTTTAAAAGTGAGTCATTTTTGTGATGTTATACAAATGTGTTGGAAATATATATTTACTGTTTATTAAGTTTTACATGAATAGATAAATCAGAAACTGTGTTAAACATTTTGTTTAATTGTTTTTATGATCACTTTCTAAAATAATAAAATCACTTTACGAGTATAGAAAGTTTTGTATTTCTCTTTATTTGGGAATCATGTTGGAAACTGGTTGGATTCACGTTGGGAATAGGTTGGTAAGTAGTTGTATATACGTTGAAAAGAGGTTGGATTTAAGTCATTTTATGACGTTGGATTGACGTCGGACTCTGACGTCTAAAAAACTTTCATATACAACTAAATTCCAACGTCTATCCAACGTGGGACTCTAACGTCTGAGCAACGTTGAAACAACGTCATGTGTTTGCTGGGTGGTGTCGCTTACGCGGACAATGTACGGAAAATGGTCTGAAAAGTACTTACCCTACGAAAATCAACGAACGAAAAATTAACGGAAACATACGAACCGTTAATGGGTAAAATACATTAGATGATTAGATGTACAGTCGACTCTCGTTATCTCGAAGTCATCGGGACCGTCCAAAGAATATCGAGATAACGAAATGTCGAGATAAACAAATAAGGGTTTGAATAAGGCAGAAACTGATTTCACAAAAGACATGTGCATACCTTATGTCAAATAAACTATGATTTCCCATTGTCTTGTTGTCATAGGCCTAGCCAATATTTAACAAAGTAACAATAGCGGATGTTTACCAGCGGAAATACTTGTGTCTGTGATAAACACATATAGTGAGGTTTACTCAGTAATACATCGATATGGTGAAAACATTGTTTTCAGGGCGGTCGATTTGTTATATATCGGGTCTTTCTCGAGATTGTTCGACTGCTTATTGATTTGGTGGTGATGTTGTTAAACAATATTGCAACGATTGTGTTTCTATACTTACTATTTCATTTACATTTAAAGTCATATTGAATTAATACAGTGTTCGAATATTTATAAAGAACGTAAAATTCACTCATTTTGGACATAAGTCAATCAACTCGCTAAATATATTAACTTTTATAAAAACAGCTTAACTTGTTACAAACATAATCATCATTATGAAACGCGCAATTCATCAATTATCGTATAGTTTGTGTTTTTCACACGTCTGAAGGGAACAGATGAAAGAAAACTATTAGTCTAGATAAACAAAGGATAATAGTGTGAAAATAACTGTTGGGGCTGAAATATTACATCGAGATACTGAAAATATCGAAATAAAAATATTGAGATAAACAAATATTTCCAATATAGATAAAGAAGGAAGAAAATCGGGACTTTCAAAATTTCATCGAGATAACGAAATATCGAGAAAAGCGATGTCGAGATAACGATAGTTGACTGTACATTATTCTGTAAAAATCTCTTTTTTTCTTATTCTTTAAAGAGGCCAAACATGTGTTAAATAATGTTTTGATAATAGGTTTAGAGCATGAAACATGCTACAAAGCTGACAAAAGTAGTGCTGAACATGCAGTTAAGTGTCATTAATGTAGCAAAATATAAAATAAGTAGTATTTGGACATACAAAATTAAATTAATTAAATCAAATTGGCAACGAGCAAAAGAAGTAAAAGATCGTATTAAGAAGTTCATCTTCGAGCCAATAAGTGCATTTTGAATTGTAACAACTTGAAATTAAAAAAAAAATAAGGAACAGGAATGGTAGCCTATCGAGGTCTTAATGTACCTAAAAACTCTTCTAAATATAATGTTTGCTTTTTTATAAAAAACGGAAGATATCAAAATTACAAACGAAACCGACACCTGAATGGAAGGTTGTAAAGTAAGTTACATTTTACCGCATTTCAGAGATTGTTTCGTGTTTAATAAATGTAAACCCGGAAGATTTAACCGACAGAAAATTATTTACCCGTAGCAAAACGAATTCAGTCGTTTGTCATCAACATGTGATATGAATGACATATTATACTATTATTCATGTAAGAAATATCAATGAACAAAAGACTGGTGTAGACACTTCAACTTCATGAATTTGTGATTTCTTCTTCATAAATTCACGATTTCAATTTTACTTCAACTTCGTGATATCACGACTTCAACTTCGCGAATGATTTCAGTTTAATGAAGTTAAAATTGTGAATTCGTTAAGTTAAAATCGTGAAATCATGAAGTTAAAATTGTGAATTCATGAGGTTAAAATCGTGCATTCAAGAAGCTGAATTTGTGAAAATGAAATCGTGAATAAATTATTCATGAAATTGAAATCTGGAATTCGTGAAGTTGATATCGTGACTTCATGAAGTTGGAATCGTGATCCGTGAAATTGAAATCGTGAATTCACGAGGTTGAATTCGTGAATTCACGAAGTTGAATTTGTGAATACACGAAGTTGAATTTGTGAGGATGAAATTGTGAATTAATGAAGTTGAAATGGTGAATTCGTGAAATAAATCGAGATTTCTTATGTTAAAATTGTGAAAGTTGAAATCGGGAATTCATGAAGCTGAAAACGTAAATTCGTGAAATCGGTATGTTATGTTGAAAACGTGAATTCCCGAAGTTAAAATTGTGTATTTATGAATATGAAATCGGGAGTTCGTGAAATTGAAATCGCCCTGCTACTCTTTCGGATAGACACCTCAAATTGTTTGCCAATGTTAAATTTGATTTTTTATCAACCCAGAAAATCGTCAACTTATATTTTAATATTACTGTGTAAAATATCGTTTTTTTTTCCCGTTTATTTACGATAAAGTACGATTATAAATGAATAATAAAAGAGAGTTTTGTATCGCCATTAGAGACAAAGGGACTTGAGAACTTTGTAAATGTGAAGAATGTACGTTTTCTTTATATTTTGATATCTATAAATCAATTTAATAACATAGATTTTACTTAATTCTTCGTTCTACCTTTAGGTAAAAGACACACAATGTAATCAATCGGGAAGTTTTGAAGTGAAAGTGGAATTTTCATAATACAGGTGGTGACGAAGTAACATATCAGAAAGTGACCTTGTTACATACGGACAATAACGAAGTAATGTTGAGTTATGCCAGGGTACAAATTTATTAAGACTAATAGAAGAATGACAGACAGTCGGACGGACGGACAAATAAATGAAAAAAAAATGAACTCATGACGTTGAATATTGATCCACATGCCCATCAACGTACGTTTGACCGTTTTGACTCCGATTTCTAGGTATAAGTATCGACAAGTATATTTCTGAAAATGCCAAGCAACCTAAATTGTTTGACCCCTATAGATCAACACGTCTTTCTAAACATGATCGGCAACCTAAGTTTGACGCCTTTGACTCTGATCTTTTAGTACATAAATCAACCAGACTTTCTTATCATGATCGGCAACCTAAATTTGATGCTTTTGACTCCAACCTTTAGGTATATAGATCAAACTTGCCCAGCAACCTAAATTGTTTGACCCCTATGACTTCTATTTTAAGATAAACGGATCACTTATATTTCAGAACACGCCAAGCAACCTATTTGATTTGATCACTTTATCTCTTTGATGCTATTCATATAAAGGTAGAGAAATATTTCGTATATTTTTCGCGTTATCATTGGAGTAATAGATAACTTACCGTATTTTCTCAACATGAGGCTCATACTGCTTGCCATACGATGACTTGTATAATTCCCATTCGAGGTCCATGATATCAAACGACCAAGATGTTGCCAGAAGACATCCGAATACAACCGCGTAAAGCATCTGCAAATTAAGAAATTCTATGCTCATTATTGAGTATATTATTTTAATCACTGATATTTATTAAAATCTATGAAATTCTTACTGAACATGTCTATTTTCAATTTTGCAGTGTTGGGATTTCTTTAGGGATTCTATTTTTCTCTCTTGAATAAAAGAATTAATAAACTATGTAAGCTGCGTTTTTTATTACAAGTCAAATAAAGTTTGATGATTTTTATAACAAAAACTGCCAAGCTTTTTTAATGACACAATATTTCCAAATTGTGACCACCTATAGTGTGTAGAATTATAGAACATAACATATCTACATGTGTATCAAAACATGTTTATTTTATATTGACTAAGAGACTGTTTGGCAAAATCAATACTTTCTAATATCAAACATGTGCACAGTATAACTTTATCATATCGTATATATTAATATTTTGATGATAAGCCCTTAAAAGGCATATTTAACCCCTCACACAATGGAGTAAGTAATAATTATATATAAAAAATGGCATCATAATTATCTTAATACTGTTTCATACAGTTAAACAGTTACGAAGTGAGCCGACTTGTTATATGTATTAAGGAATAAATGCAATAAATTTAACTGTAAATTTAAACCGGAAGTGATTAAATTTTGGTATTAGCCCATTTTTTGTTCTTTTATAATAATCATATTATTTTTTATCAATTTCATATGAATTGTTTCACATTTACATCTAGAAATCTAGGCAGTATTTTAATACCAATTCAGTAGGTAAAGATTTGAAATTACACAATATCATTACTCTGTGTATTTACTCGATATAACAATGTTCGTTTAGTTTAAAACCTTTTAACCTTCTGCAATGAAATAGTTTCTTGATGAACCATTTTATTACAACACTACATCATTACACATATATAATAAAATATAATTCTTATGTATTTAACAGAACTTTTAGATAAGATGTTATAAGAGAAAAAAATCAAGACAAAAAACAACAGTTAATCAAAATTACCTTTAATTTCCGGGTATATATCTGTTTTACACGTATTAGCTATGTACTTTCAGCTTGAAGAATGATAGTTTTAGCATGTGGTATAGCTATATATTATTTAAAAATAAATATAAAGATCTTTAGACGAGGAAGTGATATTTGATACGTTTTGTGTTAGGTTTGGTTTTGCGGCGCACCTATAAAATTTAGGTCATATGACGCCGCAACAGGAAATATGATTTTGATTTACCTCGGGTGTTATAAACTGAAAGTATCACGAGGGGTTAAAATCTTCTTACCTGCTGGAGCTAATAAAAAGATGAAATCTTAAATCCGTGAAGATATTTAAATTTTTCCATTGACAATAAATGTCAAAATTTTATCTAAGTCGGTAAACAGGAAGTAGAGGAGCGACAGACCTGAACTCAAAAATCACGGTCTGAGACCACATGGCAATGCTATATACTAAATATGAAGAGGCTGTGATTAGTAATTACTGAGAAAACTGTTACGAAACTGTTCTACCATTGACCATTAACAATGTCGGTTAACAGGAAGTGGATAAGCGACAGACCTGAACACGGATCCCACAGTCTGGAACCACATGTTAATGCTGTATCCCAAATATGAAAAGGCTGTTATAAGTAGTTCCTGAGAAAACTGTTACGAAAATCTTCTACCATTGACCATTAACTAGGTCGGTAAACAGGAAGTGGATAAGCGACAGACCTGAACACAAATCCAACGGTCTGGGACCACATGTTAATGCTGTATACCAAATATGAAGAGGCTTTGATAAGTAGTTCCTTAGAAAACCGTTACAAAATCTCCTACCATTGACCATCAATGTCGAAAATTTAACTAAGTCGGCAAACAGAAAGCGGATAAGCGACAAACCTAATATCGAATCCCACGGTATTGGACCACGTGTTTATGATGAATACCAACTATCAGGAAGCTGTGATAAATAGTTGCTGAGAAAAGTGTTACGAAATTTTATTCCCGTCCGCCCCTGATATTTATCATACTATAACCCGGGATTGCACCTGTGTAACCCGGGTAATATTTACCTTTAAACACAACTTATTCACAAATTATAGAATAGAATATCAAGAAATAGACACCAAATTAATATCAATTTCCGGTATGTTGCCGTTTAACGATATCATTTCCCCAAAATGGAAATACTTTTTGTATTAATCCCGAAATTATATTTTAAGTGAATTAATGTTTCCCGATGGTTGGATTCAATTTAGATATCAGATAAAACATAAAATTTTGAAAGGAAAAGTTAGTGTTGAGTGAATTGTGTAGCCGAAAATGTGAAGTTATTAATTCGTAGAGTCTCCGGTAATGTGCCGGCTTTGAGTCCCTACCTTACTCATATAATTTAGTTATGTTCAATAATTGCTGATGTTGCATTTTATTTATTATTATAAATTTCTGTTTGTTTTTGTTTATTGTCGTCGTCGTCGTCGCCAGCCGCCGTTATCGCTGTTGTTGTTGGTTTTATTGTTGTCGTCATTGTTGTTGTTGTGTATGTATCATGGTTAGCTGTTGAATCAAATTTACCTATAAGACATGCATTCTGTTAAGCAATTTGAGATAATTTTGCCTGATTCATTTTTAAAACAAATTCTCAATTGTCATCTCGTTTACGTACATAATGGCTACCATGGATGGGTCATTTAATGTGTTGGGAGGTCATAATATTTAAGAATGTTAGTCAACTGGGAGTCAATATTGTTTAAAATGTAATGACCGATTGTCATAAGTGAGTGTCAAACTACTTCGTAATATTGTTTTTAGTTTTTATTCAAGGTCATATATTATATCAATGCTTCAAGATTGTTTGCGAAAGTTTTAGTTATGTAAACCAAAGCAAATACTTGGTTGTTATGCATTTAATGAATTATAAACAGATGAAACATGTGACTGTTTTCAGATTGGACGAGTCACCAAAGATCAATAACAAGGGCATGTTTTATGCATCTGATGTAAACCACCCTTCCTCGTATATAAAGCACACATGTACCATACCATAGAGACAGGACTGTTATTTGCTTTCAGATTCGGTCGTTGTTTTATTTCATTTTATATATCTGCGGCTAATAACAAAAATATTTTACTTTTAATACAATGGCTTTGACTGCTGGAATTATAATAATTAACGCTGTTTTATTCGGAACAGTTTACTCAAACAAATGCAGTTCATATGAAATAAGCAAGGACAATCTTAATAAAGCATTGATCGGTCATTCCGTGTTAGAAGTTAATGATAAAAACCATCAAGATTGTGCGCGAACCTGTATGTCAATGTCCGTGTGTAAATCGTTCGACTTTGACAGAAACGAGCACGTGTGTAAGTTAAACGATGTTGATCAGTCGTCCGTTGATCCGTCGGAATTCGAAACAAAAAAAGGTTCTATATTTTCTGATATTAGCGAATGGCCTAGGGTAAGTATCTCAATTTATTAATTGTTATTATATGTACAACTTTTTGAAACGGAAATGATTAGAAATTAAACATTGAGGGAAATAGTAATTCGTACAATTGAATTCTATTTGATACGTTTATCGTAACATATGAATGTTCTTTTCATGTCTGAAACTTAAATGCTGTATTTATGTCTAACATTTATTGTTCAAAGAATATTATTTCGAGGAACAATCTCAGAAATTTCTCTCATTGCCTATAATATAAAATCGACGCCCTTACAGAAGAATTTCTTTTTGAGAAAATATCCCTTTTAATAATTCTAAATAATTCAACAAAGCAATTATTGATATTACTTAATATAATTTTTCTTCTGTTTACAGGCAATGGTTGGAAGTTGTAGCTCAAGGCCGTGTAAAGCAAACCAAAGGTGTTACCAAAATGGTGCTTCACATGTGTGCAAGACATAAGTTCGTAAAAACTTTTATTTTTACATTTTTATTTGTTATTTGATTAAATGTTGTATAATTGTTCAAGAAATATAAAAATTTACGCAAATATAAAAATTTACGCAATAATGTTTGTTTGATAAAAAGTAATTGGACATGAAATAATCATTATAGAAGACGGAGAATGCGAACGATCTGAAATGTTGCACACAAGTCATAAATCTTACCCTAGATCAAACAGAAAGTTAATCTCGAAAAATCATTTCAATATCATTTTCATATGTCATAAAACTTCAGTGGAGTCCTTTCAATAGAACAAATAAAACTAACAAACGAATCAAAAACAAAATAATAGAAAAATAAAACGCATTAAACATTTAACATTTTTGCCAGCAAGAAACTATATATTTACATAGATATAACATAGGATACTTGATCACGATTTGCTCTTAAATCGTTATATAATTGCCAAAGTGATCATTCTAAAATGGGCCTTTGTGAAGTATTAACTATTGTTTAAATAATATCTTGTTATTATTATTCATAATAATAATAATAATAATAATAATAATAATAATCTAATTATTTATTATTATTATTATTATTATTATTATTATTATTATTATTATTATTTCCAGCCTGTGCTTTTGATCAGAAAATTGAAAATGGTAAAATACAGATAAGTACACCTGGAGAAAACAAGTTCCTCGACGTAGCTCTAGTAAAATGTGACAAAGGTTATGTTCCCAGTCAACAAGAGGTGAAATGTGAGGCTTCAGGAAAATGGCAGCCTGCAACGTGCACGAAAGAAAAATGTAACGTATTAAATATTGCTGGTCTTTTATCTTGTCTTAATACTTCACTAATTAGCCATGACTGTAGAATAAAAGTTGCCATACTGGCGAGATCGTCTTTCAAAACATTTACTTTGGCACTTAAAATGCTTATACAAATAAATGAATATTTTATTATCTAAATGTTTTTATATATAAACAAAAAAAGAGGATATATTGGATTATATCTTTTAGACAATTAAATTTTTGTATACTGAACAAGCTATTTATATTGATTTTTTATTCAAAAGTTGATAATGAAGGATAATATTCCAAAATCAGCCAGGTACATTGGCACACTGTTTGCTTTAGAATTACCACAGTATCTTTTAAAAGGCATATTTTTTTTTTCTTAATTATAATAATTATTATAAACAATAAATAACATTATTAGATGATAAATATCTTTTAGTTTTGCATATTTAAGCATGTATTTCTATTAACATTGTATTTTATACAATGTGTTAGTGTTAAGAAAAGAAATAATAGTCTTTGAAGATAGTTTTCCTGCCGGTTCTCTTTATTTAGTGGTCAGTTAAAGAATTCTTTTAATAACGCCTTCATTTCTACAAAGCAAGAGAGTCGCAGATTTGCCTACTCGATCACCTTGCCTTAAAATACATCTTTTGTTATAATTACAATAATTTGCATGTACGTATACATGTTTACTTTGGAAGTAAATTTGCATCATGCATTGCACATTTACTAAAACATGCAGTTACAAATATGGAAAGGAAAATGTCATGAAAAAAATACAACTTTATGCTTTGATTAATTGCGCACACTTATTTGAGACAAGACATTTTATATATATATTAATACGTCATATTGTTATGTCATAAAAATCTTAGATATGGTATGATATTTACCAATTATGTATAAAGATTATGACACACGAATATAAAAGATAAACGTTTCTTTTGTCGTTTTTATTTACACAATTCCTTCCTGTAAAGATTGGAATATGGTAAACAAGATCGAGAAGGAAAGATGGCGTTCAATGAATAATTCTATTTTTGTTCTTTGTCAAGTACCAAGTGATTGTAAAGGAGTCCTTGATAAGTGTTCTGAGGCGAAAAGTGGACAATATGAAATAGAACTTTGGAAATCTGGGAAGATTCTGACTGTGAATTGTGACATGGAAACAGAAGGCGGTGGTTGGACGGTATGTAGATTCTTTTCTTCGAATGTTTGATTAGCAAACTGTTTTTTCCTGATTCACATACTCGCATGATAACATTTATTTAACTCGTAGTGTGTTTTTTTTTGTTCAGTACGAATAACCAGTCAAATAGTGCTAAACAGACGTCAATAAAAAAATGCATTTTATTCCAATTTTCAGGCAGTAAAATTACACAGAGTATATTTGTTCGTTTTAATTTTCTTATAACTACAATTACGACAGAGTGTATTTCTAACAATACTTCAACACTCATATGATGCATTCCTTTCACCCGCATTCAATTATAGTCTGCTTGCTTGGTAACTTATATTTTATCATTTCACTGTGAAATGATTTCAGTATTTTAAAGCATTTAATAACATGTACAACCATGTATTGAAGTCAATGAGTCAATTGTAATAGGCCAGTTGATTGAAATAGAATAACAAAAGGTCTGTTCCTAAATGCAAACTAAAGATTAAGGACTTTTGTCCATCTTTAACCCTTATCTGTATTAAACGGACGTTAAACAGACAAACACTAAGTTGATTTTTATGTAATAATTATATACATAATTCATAAGCGCTCAACATGTTTGCATTTCTTTTAGATATTTCATAGGCGAATGGACGGGTCAGTGGACTTTTATCGCACTTTAACAGAATATGAGAATGGCTTTGGGAACGTTGATGGAGAGTTTTGGCTAGGTATGTAAGACAGTCTTTTAGACCTTGTAGTATTGTAATTTTAAAACAAATGTAGTACAGTTATTGCGTAAGCACCTAAGGTACAACATCGCCACAATTAAATAAAACACTTGGCATTAATTTTGTTCCAGGCGTAACATTAAGATGGGTTTCGTTACGATGGGAAAATATTTTGCTTACAGTAAACAAATAGTTTAATTAGCAAATATATTTAGAATAGATTCTTGTTGACCGTAATACATTGCTTATATAAGTTGCTGAAGTGTATTGATAAACATAAGTTGTTAAAGTGTATTGATAAACATAAGTTGTTGAAGTGTATTGATAATCATACTAAGTTGTTGAAGTATTTTAATACACATATTAAGTTGTTGAAAGTATATAGATGATTGTTGACGTGTGTTGATCAATACAATAAGTTGTTAAAGTGTACTGATAAACATTTTAGGTTGTTGATGTGTATTGATAAGCTTAAGTTGTTGAAGTATATTGATAAGCATAAATTGTTGAAGTTTTATGTATTAAGCAACATAGCAGGTTTAAACGTCTATAAATATAATGCCATGTTATTATAATTATTGTAACGGTTTTTAATTTTGTAGTATGAAATGTTGAAGACTGAATTCTATTAAATATCTTGGTAATAATCTGAATATTTATATTTACATTTGATAAATTTTTGCAGGTTTGAAGTATATACAAGAAATAGCTGAACAAGGTTCTACAGAGATCCGTCTTGACATGACGTCAGGTCGTGATAATACAACAGGACATGAAACGTGTACAAACTTTAAATTAAAAGAAGGATCAAATTATACACTAAACATTGGGCCATGCATAGGTGTTGGAATGAGAGGTAAAAAATTTATGTTGATATAACCGTTTTTGTCTTCTTTTCTATTTTATTTTGTTCATTTACTTTTTATTTACTTAGCTAAATGAAAGCACAACAGCACAACAGCTTTAAAACCAATAAAATGAAAGCGGTGGACAGCAGTTACAGAATGAGACAAAAACAAATGAAATTACTCATAGAAAAAATTAGACTAGTAAAATAGAATCTTTCACGAATATTTTATTTGTGATGTTATATAGATAACACGGTTTTAAAGACACATTATGCCTCGATAATTTTGTTCTTTTGTGTGTTAAAGGCTTTTTTGTTTGTTTCCAAAACAACCTGAACCATCTGTTTAATATGTTGGTTTTGGCAATTAATACAGACATAGTGATTTTGTATTGAAGTCAGAATATATGCTGTTTACATTTTATGTCACTACGTCTATGACAAATAATTTGACATTTAACGCTACTGTCGTCAGGTTACAATCATCTAACATGTTTTGAAACACTTTTTCTTTTCTTATTTATTCGTTTCTTTGGCGAATCGATTCTTTAAATTATACATGTTTAAACAAATAATAAATAACATATAACAATAACAAAAGAATAGTATAAAATAAAATAACAAAAAGATTGGTCATTCGAATCTTATTTATAACAGAACAAATTCATGTCTGAAATTTTAATTGCCTGATTATAAATATCAAATTTTTATATTTAGAAATTGTCTTGGAGTGATCGTTTATACATAATATTATGATATGTGAAGAAAGCAGTTTCTTTGCATAATATGACACATCATAACATTCTACATTCAGTCGCTGACTAATTAACCTGGTCTCTAATAGAGCAAAGTTTCCCACTGACTGGTTTAGAAAACCAAAAAGCTGAATGGCAAATATTTTTGGCTCTACTGACCTGATTTTGGACCTGCTTTTATATAAATACGTATTTTGATGATTCAATTTGTAAAAGTCCGTGATAAACCGAATGAGGTGTTTTGTATGATTGTGGGAATAGTAGCTCGTTGTTTATGAAATTTAGGCTTGTCAACATGCAAACTGCCTTGACAAAGTGTGACAATGACAGTGCTTGAACTAATCAATATTGTCTTTTTATTCCTAGGTCCTAAACTTGCTTATGATAATCAAATGCAATTTTCAACTAATGACCGTGATCTCGACATGGCTTCAGATATGAACTGCGCAGTGGTCTTTCATGGAGCCTGGTGGTATCGTGGATGTACTGCTGTCAATCTAAATGGATTATATGTGACGCCAGGCACGCATTGTGAAATTCCCGGTCTCCAGAAGGAATATTGTGGACACCGGCATACTGGGTTTGATTACTATTCATTGAAAAGGTCATCTATGATGATAAGAAGGAAATAAGATAAGTAATCAGATGCAGAGCTCATAAATTCGGAGAATTAAACTATCGTACTCAAAAGAACATTTTAATAATTATTGGGGTTTG